TATATGTTGTGTGTTATTTTGACTTTTCTACACTCTCCAAGGAATGTTAGGAATTGCACTTCATCGAAAGACACTAATACATGTCTGGCATCACTGGACAAGTCTTGCCAGCCAATCCAAGCATTTTCAGCAAAGAACAGTACAGTTCTTGGCCAATCGGCAAGAATTCTTGCCCAAGCATACCCCTACTTAAAACGCCTTAAGTTTCTATTACTAAAGCCACCCAAGACTGTAGAGTATTTTTCTTGCGCGGGGAAAGCTACATTTTTTCTTGTGCGGAAAACATCATTTTGTCCACATTTGCGTGGATGGATCTGCGGACGGATGGTGAAACAAGTGCGTACAAAGGTCAAAAAAATTTAATGCGCAGAGGATGATTAAAAAAGAACTAAGCGTGTGCTGAAAGTTATGCGAGAACTACATTTGCGCTGACAGAATTTGACCAAATAATTTTTGAGTGGGGAATGCGTTCTCCATGCAGATCAAACAACCTAGAAAGCCACCTATAGGAATCCATAAGCATTGCCATATAAACCAAAACCTTCCTATCCCAGGGTTAGCAGTTCTGCAGCATTATTCCTACATATATAGACTAGAGGGTGAGAGGAATCCATCAATACCAACATCATTGTGATCAGTTATGCGAAAGAATTCTGAAAAAAGCCTATTTGGAGCCCTCTTCTCTAATAAATGTAGATTGGTATTTACTTGCATCATATTTTCAATTCACAATTTTTGACATTTTGACGATTTCTCATGCCGTCCTAAACTATTTGGATCAATATCGACATTTGGCTACTTTGATTTACGACTTTATTTTGAAAAGAAACTCCCTGAAGATCCGTATACTGAGTCACAGCCAATTATAACTGAGGCGTAATCAATAAAAATAAATTTGTTCAATACACAATTCCCTCCATAGAAATGTTCGGAAATAGGAGTCAAGTTACACCAGATCCCTTATCCACTCACTTCTTCATTCCTGAATCATCTACTCCCTTCAACTTGAGAGAGCCCTTGGCTGCGAAATACTCATCAGAAGGCATGGCGAAGCTATAGGCAGATTTGTTTCCTTTCGTGTCGTTCCTACGTCAGGTAAACAAGGCGACACTTGGCGTTGCACAAGGAAGGGCATGTGGCGAAAATGGTTCTTTATTGCGTATAGGCAACTTTTCCGCGAGGGATCGGGTTCGTTTCATGACGCGGCTCATAGATGGCGCGGGAGATTTTTTTTTTTTTTTACTATATACAGATCATTATATATGTGCAGTTGCGTACAGAAGTTTAGTGATGCCTGGGACCAATTGTTTGATCGTATGCCCCAGACTCAAGCATAAGGCCTAAGCACTGAGTAATATTAAGAAAAAGGGAGCTATTTTGAATATGTAAAGGATGTAACATGAAATAAACATTTTGTTCGATTTAAATATAAGATTCAAAATCATTGTTTTATTTTCCTCTCTGAATGGATGCCCCCCTCTCAAACCAGAGGCACAGGGGGGGGGGGCATGCTCTTCTCTCTGCAATCTGATTGGCCACCCCGTGTACCCTCCAATGGTCATTGACTCGTCGTAATGGCCCCCTGTACAAATAATCTGGTGTGTGTATGTGCGTTTGTGTGTGTGTGTATGTGTGTGTGCTTGTGTATGTGTGTGTATTTGTGTTGATGTGCGTGTGTGTGTGTGTGTGTATGTGTGCGTGTGCATGTGCTTGTGTGTGTTTATGTGCTTGTGTGTGTATCTGTATGCATACATGCATGTATGTGTGTGTGTGTGTGCGTGTGTGTGTGTGTGTGTGTGTGTGAGTGTGAGTCAGTCTCATTGTGTGTGCTTGGAACAGAAAATAAACAAAATACACACACATATGAATAATGTTCATATACATAAAAATAAATAAAGGGTGTATATATATATATATATATATATATATATATATATATATATATATATATATATGCACATATATGTGTGTGTGTGTGTATATAACTGTAGGCTTGGCTAATACATTTATGTGCAAGCCCGACAGGCGTTGACGTCAAGCAGAATGGTAGAATGGAGGTGCGTGAGGCGATTATCTTTAAGCTTTAATTCATTTCGTGAGAGTCAAGTACAAAGGTGAGTCTATCGAGGATGCAGTATGGACAATAGTGGTCTGTCTGAAGTGAGGTGCAAATTCTTTCTGTCTGTTTTATATGCCGAATACAGGCGACGGTTTTTATACATGTCTAAGGCGAAGGGAGAAAGGTCTTAAGACAATATATTAGATGGGAAAAAAATGTATTGGACGTCGGCAGAGAAGCCTGTATGGCATCTTTTGCTTTGTGTAATCACTATTATAAGATCATCATCGTTATCGTTGTGGTTATCATTATTATCATTACAGTTACTGCTATCGTTTTTTGTTAATGCTGCTTTTATTGCTATCGTATCATTATCATATTATTTGCAAATCATTATCGATCATTCATTATTGTTTTCGTCATTATTATCATTATTATCATAATCATCATTATCATTACCATTATTAATGTTATCATTATCATTATCAGTATAAGTGTCATTGTCATTGTTAATCGTAATCATTATTATCATGATTATTGTCATCCCCATCATTAAAATCATCAATATTATTATTGTTATTATTATAGCTATGATTATCATTATCATAGTTATTGTAATTGCCACTATTATTATTATTATTTATATTATTATCAATAATAATAATATCATTATTATTATTATCACATCATTATCATCATTATCATTATCATTATCATTATCATCATCATCATTATTGTCATACAGGTCTACAAAAAATATTGCAATAGATGTAAAAAGATAATAGATATTTTAGGGAAGCCCATTTTCGAATAAAGATTCATTCCCACCCAGTGGCATATATATTTTTCCTTTTTATTTGCAACTGAAGTCCCATTTTCAGGAAAAAAAATAAAGTACTATATTTATCATATATAACAATATCATAAAATGAAAAATGATGAGTAGAAACTCATGTAATTATTTAGATACTGAAGAAACTAAAGCAAATTTGAAAAACAAGAGAAAAGTAAATCATATCGGTTTACATAATTTCCGTGCAACAGGAACAACGAAGCGAAGGATAAGAAAACACACGAATATGCCGAAGGCCTTTTCGCTATTGTTTCGTCAGGGCATACAGCTAAAATAACAGCCATCCAGATATTATTATCGTTGATATTTTTTTCTCTGTTATCACTTCATTACTATTATCATTATTATTTTCATCACTATTATCATTATTATTAATATTGTAATTATTATCGTTATTAATATCAAGATCACCATTGTCAGTATTATTGTTGATGTTGTTATTATTATCTTTATCATCATCATCATCATTGTCGTCATCATTATTATATCATCAATTATAATAGCAATAATATTATTATTGTTATCATTATTATCATTACTGCTGTGTTGTTCTTCATTATTCTTTTTCCATTTTTTATATCTTATCATTAGTATCAATGTTGTTATCGTTTTCATTATTTCTATCTTTGCAGTAATCGTAATAACTATGATAACATTAATACCAGTATTATAATACATTACAATTACTATTACCATAATTCTTTTAATTTATTTTTCATGAATCTTTTCGTCTCATTTCTTATGCAGTGTACTGTATATGAATTTTCATTCCTACGCACACAGTTTTATAAAGGAAACATATCCGATTGAAAATATATATTTACATGGCAATTAAATTAATGTATTGTGGACATGCAGTGGTGTGCAGAAATCTGGTGATACCCAGGGCCAAATCTTTGAGGGTATGCCCACAAGACACGCAAATTTATATTAGATTTAAGTATATACTTCAAAATCACTGTCTTACTTCCCTCTCTAATTGGATGTTCCCCCTTCGCCACCCCCTCTGCATGCTAATGTGCATATGTGAAGGATTGCAAAACATAATGATAATAATCATTCATATTTTCTTTCTCTGAGACAGTGTAATTCTCGCACTAAAGAGGTAAACAGAAGAGAAAATTATGTAATTATAAGAATTACCATGTACTGTACAGATATGCTGTAATGATGTTGATATACTCATATATCATGTTGATATCCACGGTTTATGCAAATATGTGTACATAAGCATACATTCGCTATTTATATTTCTTAATTGCCCACCTTTCTCTCTCACGCGTGTCTATCTATTACGATATACGTCTATTATTCGAAAAGACAATGCGACGTTGATAACATGGGCCTTGTATCAACTTGTATCAAGTAAAGTCAAAAAACAAATAAAAAGAACAGGACTCGCACATCCACATGTAAGTATGGTCGAAGACACTGGTTTTTCTCACAAAAATTGAAGGTCAAATACAAATGCACAGAAACACATGACATGCAGGTATATGCAGGTATTCTCCCTGCTCTACACAGACACAGACACACATTTGTACAAGTATATTCATATTGTATGTTTCTTAAACAGCTTGGTATTTTATCTACCCACTTCACGTTCATCCTTTTACGTGCCTTTCCCTTTTTCACATCAAAGATACAATATGTCCAACTTCCAAAACGGTTATTCACATTTATATTTACTTCACAGATGTGGAGCATAAACAAGACAATTATTCTTCCTTGTACCATCATATCAATTTCACATTATAAATCAACAAAGATTTACTTTCCCTAAAATGGTTTGATATATTAGTGGAAAGTCAATCCTAATCTAAATTGGTCTTCATTACCATCAAATATTTGTAGATATATATAAAAGAATTTAATATTGAAATCAACTGACACGAGCTTAGTCTGGTAGTTATAGCAGTATAATCTTTATTGTAATTGTTTGCTAACATGTCTATCATACAAATGTATAACTGATGATAACACATTATTTCATACTTCTATCTATTATTACTTTGTTATTTTTACCATTTGCAAAATCACTACTTTTTGTAATCATAAAATAAATAAAAAATGGATAGTAAAATACTATTGTATATTATCCTTTATTACTTATTTGAATACAATAGTTGATACACTTTACACAGGCTTGTGCGGAACCAATGACACATCACAATAATATAGGAAGCAAATGAAATATACATTCCTCTTAACTGGGTACTGGTGAGAATTTCTTCAGAAACAACTGCCGGAATTCGGAAAAGAAACTTAATTTTGCGGTTTCACTTCCAACATTCAATAAATAAGTAATGCCTGGGGATTGACAAATTGTAATTCCATATAAAAAGAAAAGTATTGTTTATTTAGCAATATGGAATGGAGAAGTCTTGGAAAAAAGGCACTTCATAATCAGCAACTGCTTTATATATTTTTTTGAACGTATGCCTTGTATCCACACTGATCACATCCATGTTCCTAACCACAGTGACAAAAAAGCTTTACAATGGTATCTGTAATTACATTACAATTAGTTATATATAAAACTGGTGCCTTAATTGACTTGTTGCTACAAGCCTGAGTGGGCATGGGGCCAAGTACAAAAGTCTGAAGCAGTGGAAATACCGGAATGCAACAAGGGAAAACTAGCACCTCACATTAATATTCTGATGGCTATTTACAAATATTAACTTTTAACTTAAAGCTTTCTTTTTTTCTGTAATATTTTAATGAAATATATTGTGAACTGCATGAATTACATATCTTATGATCTAAATATTATGGACATCAATGCACCTAGGCATAATCAAGTTTCATCACTCAAGTCCAAAAAGTTACAGCTCTCAAGAAAATGTAATAAAAAATAAATAAAAAATTAAAGAAGAAATAATGATTTCCTTAACTAATGTGAATGGTAGATTATATCAAACTCTTCGGAACCATAAGTAAGACAGTCCTTACCATTGTACGTTCATGTAATGTACATTTATTAGTTAAGCAAGAATATCAGCTCCTAATATTAGCATTTGGGTGACTATACATAAGCTAGGATCCAAATATAGTCGCACTTCACCATAAGCCTGACTATCAATGTCACTGGAGCAATCAATCAGACTAGCACATCTCTCACATTGTCAAATTAAGACACACTTGGACCCTAAGACTGAAAATGCAAAATGTCAAAAAAGTAACTCAAATGTAACATTTCAAAAATGTTTATGCATTTTTCAGCAACACCTCTCTCAATGATCTCCATTTACTATCACTTCTGTGGTTTCTGTTGTCACTACCACTTGTTCAGAGGTTGTCATGGTCTGGGAGCTTTCTGTGATGACCTTCTCTGATGATGCCTTCATGATGTCTTCTACAGCACACTTCTCAATCACCTCTACGCTAGTTTCCTCATCAGCAATTTTGTTTTCTCCATTCACTACAGGCTCACTGGTCTCTAGTACTGTTGCTTCAGACTTTTCTGCTTTCGTGGCTGCCGTCTTGGTTCCAGCAGTTTTAGTTTTGCTGACTAAGGTCTTCTTCACTGCAACTCCTGTATCAAAGAAAAATCATTACAATCCAATTAATCTATTTACAATTTCTGATATTCATGACAGAAAAAGTGAAAATTAATTCAAATTGTGGAAGAATATTTTTTAAAATATAAAGAAAGGAACTGATGAAGAATAAGCATCAGTTCATAATGCAGGGGGGAAAAATATGGGATCTTACCTGCAGTCTTGGTTGCAGCAGATTTTGTTGTTGTAGACGTTCTTGCCTTGGTGGTGGCATCCAAACGTGATGTGGTCTTGCTTTCAGTTGTAGATGACTTGGCTGCTGCTGCTGTTCTACTGACAGTGGGTCGAGTGGTGGTGGTAGTTCCTGGCTTAGAGGCAGGTCGAGTTGTGGAAAGGATTCGGTTTGTGGTGTTCTTAGTCTCCTTTTCAGCAGCTGGGCGTGTGGTTGAAGTCTTGCTTGCTGTTTGTGTTAAAGGTCTACGTGCAGTTGTTGTCGTCCTTGTGGCAGACCCATTAACTAGTTTACCAGCATCAGGCTTATCTGCAGTCTTGGTGGGAGCTGTCTTCTTAACAGTGGATGTTGTGGTAGTTCTAGCAGCAGGAGTTGGACGTGCAGAACCTGGCCTGGGTGCACCTGTTGTTGGTCGGGTGGCTGGGGCTTTAGTGGTGGTGCTGGTGGTTGTAGCTGGTTTTTCAGCTGGCTTTTTGGCAAGTGGCTTGGTGGCTGCCGGCCTAGTAGCACCAGCAGTGCCAGTTGCTGGTCTTGTGGCAGTCGGTCTGGCAGAAGCAGGCCTTGCTGTTCCTGGTTTGGTGGCAGTGGGTTTATCTGCTGCAGGCTTGGTAAGGGCCACTCTTGGAGAAGGCTTTGGTGAAGCAGTTTTCTCTGTAGCTTTGGGGGTTGGAGTCTTAGAAATGGGAGTCCTAGTGGGTGTGGCTTTGCCAGGTGTTGGTCTGGCTGGTGTGGCCCTACCTGGGGTAGGCTTCTTGTCTGGTGTGGCTTTTGTTGCTGGAGCTTTAGTGGTCTTAGCAGGAGTCCTTGCTTTAGGTGTAGGAGCTCCTTCTTTACCAGTTTTGGGTGCTGCCTTTGCTGGCACTGCCGCAGCTGGTGCTGGAGTTTCCACTTTCTCTGGTGTGGGTTCTGAAGGAAGTTTGTCTTCAACAGGAGCAGGTGTAGGTTCAACTGGAGCAGGTGTGGGCTCGACTGGAACTGGAGTGGGCTCGACTGGGGCAGGTGTGGGCTCGACTGGGGCTGGTGTGGGCTCGACTGGGGCTGGTGTGGGCTCGACTGGGGCTGGTGTGGGCTCGACTGGGGCTGGTGTGGGCTCGACTGGGCAGGTGTGGGGCTCGACTGGTGCAGGTGTGGGCTCGACTGGGGCAGGTGTGGGCTCTGTGGGCTCGACTGGGGCAGGTGTGGGCTCGACTGGGGCAGGTGTGGGCTCCTCTTGAGCTGGGGTAACCTCAACTGGGCTGATAAGTTCTTCAACTGGGGCAGGTGAGGACTCCACTGGGGTAAGTGGTGATTCTACAGCAGGAGAGACAACTTCCTGTCCAAGGAGGTCAGCAGTGTCTGGCTCTGAAACAGGAGTACTTTCATCAACGAAAACTGACACAGGCACCTCTGCCACTGGTTCTACTGCTTTTTCTGGCACAAATGTAATATCAGATGGTTGCTGCATATCTGCATTTATCTGACCTGTCTCATGTTCAGGAATGATGAACTGTGTTTCAGAACCAGCAATGTCAACTGGAGATGGAGGTGCAACCACCTCAACAGTTGACTGCGCATGGACAATTTCTACTGGTGAGTCCTGGGCCACCTGAGAGGATTCTTCCTCAACCTGTCCATTTGCAATGCCACTGAAGTTCACAAGGTCTACAGGTGCCTGCAGCGAAGGCTCCAAGCTGCTAGGCTCAGGTGAGGAGCTTACATACACACTGAATGGACCCGATGGCTGCTCCATTGCACCTGTGAGTGAGTCCTGATTTTGGTTGATGGCAAAGTTTGTGCCAAAGTTCTCCTCAGGAGTGTTGAGTTCAACTGATGTAACAAAACCTTCAACAGACCTTGGGCTTCCAGGGACACGAGGACTCACTGAACCATGAGGACTGGATGGCTGCTCGAAGTTACCTTCCATCAAATCTGGAACTTTGTCCATAGAGGTTTGCATCAAGTCAAGAGTCCTTGCAGAGCTTTCAAAACCAATTGTCCCCTCATCTACACTGGCTTGAAGAATATCAGGGGGATTTTCCATAACAGGTGGCTGATCAGCTTCGTATGGAGAAGGAATTTTTTCTGAATACACCTCTCCTGTGACCTGGTCCTGAGGTGCAGCTTCCATAGGACTTGTGAGCAAATTTTCATAAGATGGGGACTTCTGGGCTGCTGTTACAATGCTCTCATCATCAATCACTGCATCAACACTCTGAGGAGTTTCACTAGGAAGGGCTACAGGAGCTGTTGGACCACCAGGCACAAGAACATCTTCACCCTGAAAAGTACAATAATGCTTAAAAATGCTGCTTTATTGCAGGGGGAAAAAAAAAAACCCTCAATCTCAATCCTGATCCATCTGAAGTGCATAAGAAACAAGAATCCAAATTCTAAGCTTTGTAACTACTGTTCAGTCTACATTTGTTTTTCTCATTGTTCTATGTTACATTTACTAACGCTATCATTCACCTTCCTAGCTGTTCATTAGTATCACACTATTCTTTCTAATCTTGAATATCTATTACAGCAACCATAATGGAGGGGGGGGGGGGATTAACAAATCCTACCATATTACCAATAAACTAACTTCAACATTCACTTTAATGAATATAATACATGATATGAATATTTCAGTTACAGGAGGGGGGATATCCTTGGAAAAATGGCCACAATGAGAGTCTTTGGCAAAATCACTGAACTGCAGTTAAAAAAAGAAAAAGAAAAGTGAGGCAAAGTAACTGTGCATAGTACTAATCCAGCAAAATAATCTTAAAAAACATCCTAGCATTACTTGGCAAGAAAAAGAAAATATTTATGTATGCATGTATATGTTTGCATATGTTCATATATATATATATATATATATATATATATATATATATATATATATAAAGACATACTTACATATATATACAAACATATATACATACATATACACACACATACATACATATATACACACACACATACACACATATATACACACACACATACAGCACACTACATACACACACACATACACACATACACACACACAGACACACACACATACACACACAGCACACACACACACATATTATATATATATTATATATATATATATATATATAATATATGTGTGTGTGTGTGTGTGTGTGTGTGTGTGTGTGTGTGTGTGTGTGTGTGTGTGTGTGTAATGTATGTATGTATGTGTAATGTATGTTATGTGGAGAGAGGGGTTATGTATGTGTGTGTATATGTATGTATATATATGTAGGTATATACTGGTAAAAGTGTATGGTCTTTATATATATATTATAGTATTATATATGTGAGGATTGAATATACGTATAGAGGCAACTGTAGATGCAGTGAGATAATTAATATATTATAGAATCAGGGTGTGTGTGTATGTGATCAGTAGGTAGCGTGCGCAGAGGCCGAGGCGTGTCGGTTGGGTTGGTGTGGGTGTGTGTGTGTGTATATGTTAGTGTGTGTGTGTATAATATGTGTGTGATGTCGTGGTGTGTGTGGCTGTGTATATATGTAGTATTGTATGTATGTGTTATATGTATGAGATATATATGTATGGTGTATATATACCTGAGGTAACTATATAATATCATACATAACATATATACAGTATGATGATATATGAGGGTATAGTACATGAGTCAAACGCAGTTGTGGAGTTTTCTATCCAAGATAGCATACATAGAGTTATTATTGTCACATTCATAGCATACAAAGGCAGTATACTGACACATAATAACATATATTTTAATCTACACATACACACACTCACACCGAAAACATATAATAGCACATATACATATATACAGTACATAATAATCATAACATCACATACACACACAAACATCACACACACAGCGACACACACACACACACATATATAGATTATTAGTATAGGTATATAGTATATATACCTATATAATAAACTTTTATACATACAATATATACATATGCATATATATTATCTACACATATTATATGAGTACATAAAAGTACTATACAATGACAGTATACATATATAACACACACGATATATAGAAAGGTAATATACAATACATACTACAGAGTATATAACACATATATAATGACATACATATATCAATATAACACAGCATATATATACATAAATATTACATAATATATACCACACTATATATACATACATACACACACACACACACACCGACCCCCACATATAGTATATGATTAGGTACGTATAGATAATACAATGGCTATAGTATGAGATATACTATCTAGACACTGTATTAATTACTACTCATTTTGGTTGGGCTTGTGAGCTGTATAATATACTTATATGCATTGCGTATAGTATAATATATGGCGTATATATGGTTGATAATGTATGTAATGCGTGTGTATAAAATATGTATTCTATATACTAAGGAGTCTATGAATCTAGACTATTTCCAGTAAATTGAATTATGTTTTAAAAAAAAAAAAAAATAGTATAATCGCTATAAGGGCGATGACTGTATAATTATATATATAGTACTGATAATATATAGTTGATATATATATATATATATATATATATCATACTAAACATGAGCAACTACATATAGCAGTATACTACAGTAAATATAATTAAATATATAGTACTTATATTCAATATATACAACTATATAAGTACCTATACAGAACAATCATCACACAGCCAGGCACTACATATATACAATACATACACACACATAGAGATAATTACATACATACATACACGACAACACACACATACGGACACATACACACAAACACATAACACACTGTGAGGAGGCGAGTACACCTCGTGCCCACACATATTATATATAAAGTATCATAAGCAACACACACGACACACATATATATTTTATAATACATACATATATATACCACACACACACACCCGATATATAATATAGTACAATACATATACAATCACACACCAGCACAGCACACACACACACATATATAGTATAGTACAGGCATACATATACCACACACACACACACACACACACTCCACACATATATATGTATATATATAGTAATATATAATAATATAATACCTATATATTAGCTGAAGATGAGTGGTGGATGCATACATGTTTGTAATGATATGTATCGGTACTGTATATTCATCACTGTAATATAATATAACATATAGATAACATGTACTCAACAATTACTAGCTAGTAAGACATAGTGAAAGTCTGATGATATATATATAAACTACGATAAGTATACATATATATTATCTATATATCGTATATATATACGCGACTGTATACTATATTATATATATAATGATACTTTTACATATAGTATACGCATGTGTGTGTGTGTCGATGTGTGTGTGTGTGTGTGTGTTGTGTGTGTGTGTGTCTGTAATACATGTATACTATATAAATGAAATATATATGTATTATTCTATGTATGTGTGCATATAAAATGTATGTGTAATATATATGTATGGTATGTATGTATGTAGTATCTATATATATGTATGATATATATAAATATATATAAACATGTATACATATGTATATATAGTGTATATATAAAGAATTATATGTATAGGATGTATTACATACATATTAAATATATATATATATATTATAATATTTATGTATATACATATATATTATATTGTATATACATAATATTATATGTAATGTAGTATATATAATACCGAAATATATATATAATATAGTAATATATTATAAATATGTTACATATGTATATATACTATGTATATATATAAATATATGTATATATGTACTATACATACATATAATATATATAGTATCGGACTCGCCCGCCCTGCGTGAGCACGGCGCGCAAACGCTGAGGCGGCACCGGTCCCCTCCTTTGCGAGTCGGCTCGCGAGCGATGGATCGACCGATGCGCGACAGATTCGTCTAGCGTGTAGACTACCCCTCGGCGCCCGGCGGTCCCGCAGAGACTAGCATCCCATGGAACGAACATCCCACTTCTCACCGGCCAGTGCGAACACGCGTTGCTTGACGCTCCCGACGATAGGCCTGAATCGCCCCGGCACGGTTCGTGTAGGAATATATATATATAATATATATATATGATAATACTATATATATATATATAGATAATGTATATGTATACTTTAGTATAAATATATGTATATATGTATATGTGTATATATCATATTATAATACATATATATATATAATATATGTATATTACATATATATATATAATGTTACTATATAGTAGTAACACATATATATATGTATATATATGTATGCTATATATTATGTATGTATATTTTATGATGTATCTGTATGTATGAGTTATGTATGTATGTATGTATAGTAGACAGTATGATGTTATATTATATATATATTATCTATGTAATATATGTATATATAATATATATAATATCATATATATAATATATATATAATAGGTTGTGTGTGTGTGTGTGTATGTGTATGTGTGTGTGTGTGTGGGTGTGTGTGTGTGTATGTGTTGTGTGTGAGTGTATGTGTAGTGTGATGTGTGGTGTGTGTATGGTGTGTGTATGTGTTGGTTGTGTATGTTGTGTGTGTGTTGTATGTGTTGTATTGTGTTGTGTGTGTGTCTGGTGTGTGTGTGTGTGTGTGTGTGTGTGTGTGTGGCATATAATATAAATATACTATATAATACTGTATAGTATATATAGTATATATATATATATTATTTATATATAATATTAATATATAAATTATGATATATATGTATATAATATATATATACTAATATATATACATATATACACATATATATACTATAGGCATATATTAAGTATTATAGAATATATGCATACATATACATACATATATCATACATACATACACATATATATATACATATATAAAATAATATATTTTGTATACTATATACATATATGTATATATATGGCATATATGTAATATATGTATATATAATAACTATATGTAATATATATGATATATTTGTATATATATGTATGTATAGCATATATTGTAAAAAATATTTTTGTATACATATATGTATTATATTATGTGATGTATACCATATTATGGAGTATATATATGTATACATACATGTATCAATATTATAAAAATATATATAGCAATATATATACACATACACACACACACACACACACACACATTATATATATATATATATATATAGTATATAATATATAATTATATATATTTACATATACATATATAAAGCATATACAATATTATACACATAATATGATACA